AATGGTGGTAAACCGATTTGGGTAGGTTATGTTGATTATAGCAGCCTCATTTGACCTCACTGATGATTGGTAATGGGGGAAATCATCCCCATTTTGGGCCCTAAATTTTGTTTAGGAAATGCTATATAATTATATATACAATTATGTACATATAAATTATCTTCGCAGCTAGAAGATATTCCAGTGTTGGCAATGTTTACTACGAATCATTACTTTAACCATTTTTAACCACTATTAGCCAGTAAATTGTTCCAGGTCATAATGGCATTGCCACACCAGACACTTGAACATGAATCTAGAAAGTGACTACCAGGCACAGGCCTGCGGAGCTGATGGTGAGGCGAGTGGCACCACAACTCACCATGGGTTTCAATGATCTAATGACAAAAATGGAAACATCCATATAGTTTGAAGAATTCTTTCATTGGGAAAGAGAACATTTGAAGTAGTGTGAAACTTGAATATAATCGGATAGTTGGGATTGCAATATTATGGGATTGTTTTTTTGTCCAATTCCAATTCGAACTATTCTAAGAATAGTTGGTTTGTGTTGAAGTATATAAGTATATTTGAACTATACTTGGAAAGCTATGGAATCCAATAAGTACTGGATACAATTAGAACAGATATGGAATCCAACTCTAATAAATAATTATTAATTCTCATTGGCTCCAATAATCCAAATATCGCAAGACACTATAGAAATACTGGAATGCAACTGGAAGAACTGGAATATATCTTGAAAAAAACATAACTGGAATTTCGCTGGAATATAGCTGGAATATAACTGGAAGAACAGAATTATAATGGAAACATAAATTATGGACTATAATTGGAAAGCTATGGAATCCAATATATAATCGTTGGAGTCAATTAGATGGTGATCATGTATTCCATTCTTTCATATTATTGGTACAAGAGTATGATGAACATTCCTAATTTCCAACTGTGAATAGTCATTTTGAACGTTTGAACATAGAACCGGAAATAGATGGATTGGGAGGTTAGAATTCCATCTCTTTGGAATATATTTGTATATAATTGGATATCATTTGAATTGATCCATTGGTGGACATGATCATAGTTACTATCGTGTGTAGTCCAACCCGACTATTCATGAACTGACAATAACTGGAAAGAAATGTTTATAATTGGAATACAGCACTAATTCGGATTGATACCAGGACATATAAGCCCTTGCTAGCCTCTTGTTGGAAATTATGGGGAATCTCATGGATATTAATCGGACACAATCTCACTATTCCTCATGCCTTTGCACATAGTGTCCCAATGTAAAGGGGATGTCAAATGAATGGGTATTGATAAAATGGACTACCATCCACTATCTGTATCTATAGCACCATCCTGGACATGTTTTTTCTACAGTATCCTTTTTTGGGAGTCAGTATGGTATATGAAATGCATGTGATCACATGCTTTATGGGACACCCCCAACAAAATTGTGTTGATTGCTGAGAGCATCATTTTCCGCACAAAAAAAAGCGCGCAGTTTCAGAAGTATATCCCATGTTCAGCATATGCATGTGATCGGAAGGAAGTCGCTGTGGGTGAGGATTCCATGAAGATGTGGATGTTGTTGATATTTGATGATATTTGATGTTGATTCGCGAGGATGATTAGCTTGTTGATTTCATGAAGATGAAGTTGAGGAAAACACGCGACTGTCTTTACTAATCAATTTACGTTGTTTTACTCTGAACATATGTTTATTGTATTGTCATTATGCTCAAGGGTTCTTATGATTATTGTCTACTGTAATAGATATATAGTAGTGTCACTATTACATACTATGACATCATGACTATTGAAATTAGTATAACAATACTAATCAGTAGTGTTGTTGAATATTACTGTTACATTATACTAGTATTCTATTACCAATAAGATAATAAGTATATTACAGCTATTAGTATAACGATACTCATCAGCTAGTAGTGTTGAATGTTACTAATCAATGGTGACATTCTATTACTGGTTGGTGGTTTGGAACATGGCTTTTATGATTTTCCATATTATATTGGGAATGTCATCACCCCAACTGACGAAGTCCATCATTTTTCAGAGGGGTAGGTCAACCACCAAGCAGTTTACCATATTTTACCATTGAGTATTCTTCAGCTCCTGTCACGCAGCTGCCAGGACTACAGTCATCGGAAGTCTCGCCTGAAGAGTCGAGTGGAGGATGCGGCCGGGATCCTCAAGGGATCCATGAAAAAACGGCCCTGGATGGCCCTGAAATCTGGGCGTATTTTTCATATTCCGGGCTTTTAAGGAATATTGATGGGTTTATGAAATTATTGTTATACTTGTAATATATACCATATACACTTACCATTATATATATAATACATATGATGGAATATCCAGACACATAGTCATAGAATGTCATGGTTTGTAGCTGATTCGCTGATCCCAAACTGCAGAATCAAGGCTGTGAGCGTGCGACAGTTGAGTCAGCAACGTGCGCAGATTTTGGAGGGCACTGCAGGGGATCCGAGAAATTGGTCGGGGCCAGGTGCGTGGTATCCCATGGCATCCCATGGCATCCCATGGCCGCAGGTGCCACCACAGAGATGTGAAAACTATGTTGCACTCATTTAGGCACTCATATTTAGGGTCAATTTGGGGACGGTTCATTATAGCTTTCATAACATTATATGGAGATATCAGGGTATAGATAATTCATGGTGAATTCTTACAATTTTTCTGCAGACCAATGGGCTGAGCCTCCCAATCAAATGTCAAATATTCCTTCCTTAAAAACGACCTAAAACTGGAACGTTCAAATCGTTCTGGACATGTCCTTCGAAACAGCATCATCCTCAACTTATCGATACTTTCCATAGTTTCCCTTCCCTTAAGTTCCGTAAGCTCCTTAAACCAAAAACTGGGATGCCGGTATGTTTAAGTTTCCCTGAACAGTTTCCGTTGTCCATATTTTCCAGATTAAAGTTCCCTCAGTTTTCTATACTCCATAGTTTTCCATGGTATTTTCCATAGGTTTTCCATAGTTTTCCATGGTTCTTCCACGGTTTTCCGTAGTTTCCCCATGGTTTTCCATAGTTTTCCCTCTGGTTTCCCTAAGCCGTTCACGGTCTTTCCTAAAGATGGGGGCCCCATTCCGAGGACCCCGAGGTGCAGGAGGAGCAGCGGAAGCGCGAGGAGATTCGCAGGTGCCGGTTGATTAGGGTATGAGGTTTCATGATATTAAGATTTAATGGGATTTAATGGAGATAGAATGGGACTTAATGGAGACTTAGTGGGACTTAATGGTGATATTAATGGGATTTTATGGTACTGGGATTTATATCAGGCTATAGTTATATCTTTAATTATCTTTAGTCGTTTTTTGAATGGGATGTTATGATGTTAATGATTTATTGGGATTATAGTGGGATTATAGTGGGATTTAATGGGATATTAATGGAATGTAATGGTAATCATATCATATATTCATGGTATACTACTGGGATTGGATTGGATTTATGGCACCAACAACGATATGATGAATATGGGGATATTATGGTTCTGATGGGATAGTAATGGAATATGAATGGAATATGAATGGTGCTGAAAATAGGGATTCATTGTTTGGGATATAATATGTACAACATTGTCCAACCAACTTGACATAATATGATTACGATTGATAAATCATGATTTTGATAATGGTTGACTGTGGTTCATAATGGATAATTACTGTTCAAGACCCTGTTGGTCTCTTGGTTGAATATGATACTGTATCCACTATTGGGGATTATCACTGGAAATGTCCAGGTCCCAAATTCCAGGTTCTCCGCACCTCGTCCACGTTGCAAGCAGCCGCCTTCTCTGTTTTCACGGCAGCAGCTCGAGTGTTTGAGCTTCAAAAGGGCAGCTACGTCGACTGCAGTTGGTAAAAGGGTTCAGTGACATGTCAATTGGTGCAACATGTCTGAATTAAATGTACAGATCTACCAAAGTATGAAAAACAGGGTATGCCGTTCTGCACTCCCCCTTGGATGCGTCGTTAGAGTGCATCCATTTCTTTCTTTACAGCTCAACCTGCCCTACCCATTGTACTCTGTACAGTACATGCATCCTCTCAGCTCCGTAGCATCTCGTGCTCTCGGGCATCTTCGATCAGTATGGACGGTCTGATCGCCCATTCGTAAAAGCAGCGGACTTCCAGGGATTGGTCTTCCACGGGTGCGCATCGCAACCTCTCGGCACAAGGCACACCATGTGAACGGTCTCGCATAGCCAGTTCGTGGTCCTTGAAGCTGGGTGCATCCACGTGTATCGTGATACACTGTTCCACATGGCGTCCTCAACACCTGAAATCCAAGTTCTGCTCTGCTATGATCTTCTGGCACTCCTGGAAAGTCGCCCTGCCTCCCAAAATGGTCCCACAGGGCTGCCTCTTCATACGCAATGTCTTGAATCGCCGTCTCAATTCGGCCTGTCATACTGCTTGATGTGCTTCCACTTGAGGAGCTGGAAGCTGATGGGCCACTTTGTGGTGCGGCCTTTGGTTTTGGGCCCGCTTTTGATGGGGCCTTTGGTGTTTGGCCCGCTTTTGACGGGGCCTTTGGTCCCTCCTTTGGCGGGGGAGCTTTCGCAGGCGCAGCCGGGAGCTGGACTGGAGGATCAGCATGACCCTCCAACCCGCCCTCACCAGCCGAAGCTGGGAGCTGGACTGAGGCCCTCTGCCCCAACCCGCCCTCACCGGCGCGTCGCTGCTCAGCCACCGCGAGCTGGACTGGGGATCCCTCCTCCATCCCCAACCCGTCCTCAGCGGGGCTTGGCTGGTTTGACGACCCAGCAGCCGAGGGCAGATGCCGTGGTCTTTCCACGGGTCCGCACACCTCAGCACATGCTCGACCCTCTGCCACTGACGTTTTCTCACCCATGGGGAGACTTCGGCCACGGGTAAAAAACCTTCTTTTCCAGTTTTCGCCCAATGCGCCTACTCCTACCTTCCACAGGATTTGGACCATCAGCGTGATCAGAATGATCAGCACCGTGTAGATGACCATAAAGTTGTGGAAGTCACCTGCTGGTTCATCGTCTTCTTCATCTCCTTGAGCCTTTGACACTGACAACAAGGCCGCCATCGTGATGAGCTTGACGGCCATGGTGGCGACCGATTTTGAGTCGGTCTTGATCTCCTTTTCTTTTTTCTCATCCTTCTCCATTTCAACACCTTTTTCTTCGGGCTGAGCAACTCCCATGCCCATCATCTGCTTCAAAGTTTCCATCCTCGATGAGGTCAGAACTTTTGTGCCCAGGTCCGCCAACATCTTCTCACCAGGGACATGACCCACCTGCCAGTCACCACGCAGCACAGATTGGCGAGCAAACGCCCACCTCAGCCTGAGGTGTCTTGTCCTCCAGCTTCCGCCCTCAGCAACCAAAATGGCCAGTGCAGCTTGCGAATCGCACAATGCCACCTTTGAGATTTCACCAAACAGCTCTGCCAGCACGACGTAAACTGACTCGCCGGCAATCATCGCCTCAACGAGCTCCATCAACTCTGACTCGGCCGTGCTCAAGGTGATTGTGCCCTGCCTGCCGCTTCTCCAAAACATCAACCCATCGTTCACCATAACCACAAACGATCCATGGGACTCATCTGCTTCGGGTGCAAAGCTGGAGTCTGAGTAGACATACAGCGTGATCGGGTCATCGATCTTCTGCTTGTACTGTAGGCCCTCACCTGCAGTTCTCCTGAGATAGGACCTCATTTGTGCTGCTGTGTCCTTGATGCAGTTGGCGGCCTTCAAAACGTTGGCCCCCATCCTGGAAACTCCAAACATCAAATCTGGTCTGCTTCGGGTCACCAGCCAAAGCAACTCGCCGATGACCTTCTGGGAAAACTTGACTCCTTCTGGCGAAGGGGGAATCACATCTGGAGGCATCGAAGCTTGGTCACGAGTGATAGGGAGCTTTCGTGGTTTTCCCTCCTCCTCATAGCGCCCAAGCAAGTCTTTGATGTATGCCTCTTGTGAAAGGCACCATTGGACCTTCTCCTCCCCCTCGATTTGGTGGCAAGTCACCTCCAGGCCCAAAAACCTCACTGGTGTCTCGCCAACCCACTCCGGTTGTGTGGTCGCCCAGGTCTCTTGAAACTTCTGAGCAACTGACTTCGCCACCTGCTTCTCGGCGACGATAAAAATGTCGTCGACATACGTCATCACAAGGCCAATGACTCGGCCGTTTGAGATCCATTCTTCTTCTGCCTCTTGGAAGCCTCCTCTGACCACAACCACCTTCCATAGGTTCTGCTCTGACTCCATCGGCTTCAGCTCCAGGCTTTCGCAGCGGCCATCAATGACCACCTTGATGTCAAAGGTCTTGATCGTTTTGTCTCGATGAAGACCCCAAAGCTTTGGTGAGCGCCTGAAGCCGTACACTGCCTTCAATGGCAGGTACAGTGTGTCCGGGTCCAGAAACTTCATCTCCTTCAAGATGTGGGGTGGCTGGACCAAAAGAAGGTCCTCATCCGGCTCCTGTTCCATCTGCGCGTTGAGGAAAGCAGTTCTGACATCCAGGATGCATCCGGCCCACTTCATGCGGGATGCAATCCATGCCAACAACCTCAAAGATGTGGCATCTGCACCACCTGAGTAGTTTTCCTCCCCCTCTTTCTTCTCCTCATAGTTTCCGCAAACAACCCACCGGGTTTTCTTTTTCCCTTCTTTGTGGTCTGGGGAAGGTTTCACAGTGAACACCAGTTTGGAAGGTATGATCTCCAACTTCTTACCCTCCTTTTCTGCCTTCTTCTTCAACGCTTTGACTTCATCCTTTGACAGCTCCTTCAAGGCTGCCTTCTCAATGGTCAGGGACTCCACCTCGCTTCTCACTGATGGGATCCACTCCGACCAGTTTCTGACCACCTCCTTTGGTGAGATGACCTTTGTTTGAAGGATCTCATCTCCATCCTCCTTCACTTCAGCCATTTTTCTCAGCCTTCCCAAAATTCTGACTTCCTCGGCGGCCAGATCTGGGTCGTCGTTGATGATGGACTGCATCTCATCCTCCACCACCTTCATCAATCTTTGAACTTCAGCCTTTTCCTTTTCTTCCAGCACCTCCTCAGGATCTGCAACTGAGGCATCCATTCTCCTCACTGCTGATCTGCCTCTGATTCGGCGTCGCTGTTCTTGTGCATCTCGCCCTTCTCTTTCCACCGCAATCCAAACCGTCTCATCCTCCGGCTCAGTGGTGGGCGCCAAAATGTAGCGCGTAAGGCGTGGGGCTTCGCCTTCTTTGATCACCCAATGACCATGGTTTTCCACTGAAGGGCATAGATACTGAACCTTCTCCACTCTGGGGTCCAGGTCATCCCGCCTCCATGTCCGCTTTCGGACTCTTACTTCTTCCAAAAACCTTGGCCAACTTGGTCTTGTCTCCATCCGGACACATCGGTACACCTCATTGACGTACCTCAAAGCCCATGGCCACCATTTCGCATCTTCACTGGCCTGCCTCAACGTTCTGCGGATCTGGTTCTTGAAGTCCTTCACCGCCATTTCAGCTCTGCCGTTTGCGGCTGGATCATCACCTGGTGTTTTGGTGAGGTAGATCCCACGCTGTCGGGCCCATGTCTTGAACTCGCCAGCAAACTCATGACCTTGGTCTGAATGGATGCGGCCCACATGGAACCCTTCCGTCCGCAGCCGCAACACGAACTCCATCACCGTGTTCACCACATCTCTCGCCTTTTTGGAACCCATTGGCAAGGCCATTCTGAACCTTCTCAACTCTGTGACCTCATCCAAAGTTGGGGGTCCAAACGCCTCGCCTGGGAGCTGGACTGGAAGATCTGCATGACCTTCCAACCCGTCCTCACCAGGGGCGTCGCCAGGCTCTCCTTCAGCCGGCGCTTCACCAGGGAGCTGGGCTGGAAGCAACTCCTCAGCTTCCAATCCGTCCTCACCCGGTGGAACTGGATCCTCAGCTCCTTCTTCAATCTCCGGAGCTCCTTCAGAAGCTGCTTCTTCAGGGGGGTTCTGCATCTTGTCACTCCCCTTTGGCACCCTCCAGGTCAAAACTCCAACCAAAAAATACCTTGCCATGTGCCCACCCAAATCATAAGCAGGCTTCAGTGGACCAGCTGTGTCGATTGAAAGCACTCCAGCAATTGGGTCCTTGACCAGTCGATGAGGCGGGCATTGTTGTGAGCTCTCCT